TCTGTAGAAGCTCCTCCCTAAGCTTAAGGTCCCCACTGGGCTCTAAGGCCTTTTGAACTTAAGGAGATCAATTGTGAAGCCAGGAAGGAAAGCAGATGGGTAAAATATTAGGACGGAGCGAGGGGATCCTAGCTAGGTTAACAGATACTAACGGGTGGGCATAGTCAGGCCAGGCCGTACTGAGCCAGGGAGATACATATTTGATATGATTGGTGTATACATACTGTGTTTTGTTTAAGAGTTATGCAATAAGTCTAAATAAAGATGAACATATAAACTTCTGGGATCACGAGATGTGCTTCTCGCCAATGGGAAAATAGATCTCTAGAAATGAATGTCAGCTTGATATAGTCCCCAGCTCAGGTCCTTCAGTCTCCATCAATACACATTCATTGATCTTCCTCAACTATACTTTTGGAATCTATTTGTATTTTTCATGCTACATGGTCTCAAGGGAAAGCTGCCTGTCAATTCACTTCCTGAAGAATCATGTTTTCTCCAAGATTCGAGGAGCAAACTCAGTTCCTTGTTGTTCTTGCTTCCTCGATGGACTGACAGATTATGGTGTTTTAGAATACTCGGTAAAAATAATGTGCACCGCCAAGTCCTTCTTGGGCTTTTGTTTAATTGGATAGTTGCCCAAGTTAATGGAAATCAAAAGCAACATACAATTATTTAGTCTCCCAGCACTGGAGTATATCCAAATGTTTTCCTGTTTAGGATTCTACTTTTGTCCTTGTCTGTGTGCAAGCATAAATGCTTTACAGAGTTACACCTACTGCCTTTTGCTGTAGCCCTGGTTATTGACATCTAGTTTTTCCAAGTAACACTGACGCACATCTATTCAAATCAATTGACGCTCCCATCATGACTGACTCATTTGGTGGGAAAACAAGTTTACATGCCAACTGGAACAAATTTGGGGGGAGCCTAGGTTGGGAGTAAAAGCAGGAAGAATGAAATGGTGGGACCGGATCCTTTGACTTACAGATCATAAAACACTTTCCAGGAACATTTTTAAAATACGTATACTATTACACTAGTGATTGATTATATTTTAACCCCCTAGTTGGGGAGTTTTCAATAGCTAGTGTAGTAAAATGCATATAAATTACAGCATCTGAAAGATGATTGTACTTTCTTGAAACAGAAGTCTTCTGGGTCCACATCCCCAAGACTGTTGATGTAGTGTTCCCTTGTTGGAAAAAAAAAAAAAAAACAAACCAGTGCTGCTAACTGAAGATGCCTTTGGAATTATTCCTGTTATGAAAATTGTTGCAAAATTATGTTCCATTCCAGTATATCATAATAACCTGAATGCCATGTCCTACTGCTTACAGAAATGTCGAAGTTTAGAGTTAGAGTCAGGCTCAGCCTTTTATAGTTTTAAGAGCCATGTCTGCCTAATAAACTTTATACAATGCCACGTGCACACAGCTTCCTCACTAACAAATAACGTGTGTTGGGTAAAAAAAAAAAAAGAGAGAGAGAGAGAGAGAGAAAACAATGGAGAGGTGTCTCTTTGAATGTGGTGATGGAGGATCAATTAATCAGCCGACTGCAAATTGAATCACTTTAGACAAGTCTCCCGCATTATGATGCGCATTTAGCAATGCTTGAAAAAAAACAATTGAAAAGAATACCTTCGGGAGTGGTTAAAGAGAATTTATAGTCCGGAACGAATTGCCATCTTCTTAATTGACATGGAAGTGTTTGGCTAAAACATTGCTTTATTCACATTTTTGCCCTTGGAAGAAAATCTAGGCTCTCCACAACTGAGCAAATAAAGGTGTGAAGAACATTGCAAACCAGAAAAGGGCACCACGCAGCCAGGCGCGCTACGCAGATGAGCTGTTTTGGCATCCTTGGGCAAAGGACATCTTAGATTTTGGAAGGCAATGGCCCTAAATCGGATCATTTGCTCCCCTGCTCTCGGCCATTTTAAACCCCTAATCCGCCTGAATCTCACCTGAGTCCTGCGGGCACCCGCTGGAAGGAGCCGGATGACGCGGGCCAGATCCTTTCGGATGGAGCACCTTCAGTGCACCCCGGTGCTCTTCCTGTGGTGAAAGGGAAAAGCCTGTTGGACAGCAGAAATGGAGAAGGGAAGCTGGTGAGGGAAGAGTAAGGAGTCTCAAAGTGCCCCTCCTCCAACCCAATGTGGCGGAACGCGGAACGCGGGAGTCTGAACCTGTTAGCCATTTGCCCCGGGGATTCTGGGACAAAGGGGCCCTGCCACGGGGCGGGGTGGGGTAGGAGCTGGGGGCGTGGCTTCAACAAATGGAGGGGGTTATGGGGACCGGGATTGGCTGAAGTCCCAAGAGCTATTGGTGCTCCTGGGAGCCTGGGGGTCCTTGGGGGCCCAAAGGAACCTAAACCACCTCCCACACATTGCTCAAGCGCAAGGGAGTCTGGGAGAAAGGCATTCGGTGGCTAGAGCTAGACTCCCAGGCGCACAAGGCCTCCTCTAACTGTAAATTTTATGGGGCCCTGTACCCAGTCCCTGGGGAAGACCACTACAAGGTAGCTCATAGAGACCAGAAGGGTGTGTGTATGCGTATTTTTATTATATTTTTTTAAGATGACAAAGCAGAGAGATTCCATTCCCACTACATTTTCCAATATGCCGGTGCTCTAGGTCATATAAAGTGATGTTCACAGGAAAAGTAAGGCCGTGCTCAGGTAATTCACACTCTTCTCCAGTTCCCAGGTGACTCTGAACCCCCTTTCTCATTGAGGGCTCAGAGGGCTCCTCAAGGGAGTGGAGGTGGCATGAGGGTGGGCTACAGAGGTGCCATGATCATTAGTCACAGCACAGAGTTTGGGGGGTCACAAAGGGACTTGGAATATACAGCTCTGATGCTGCTTGCTATTTTCTCAGAGCTTCTAAGAGCGAGGGTGTCCTTGAGTCCCTGCGGTCAGGGTAGGTTTGTGTGGTGACTTTGGGAAATGGGGACAAAAGCGGTCTAGAAACACTCCGAGGCTTCCTGTTGGCCTCTGCTCCTCACTGTGCCACCTGAGGTTCATCACCAGCAAGGCCATGTGCCTCTAGGTATGGTTTTATTTTTTTGATGCCAGAGATCCACGGATGCTGCCCCTCCCCCCCTCCAGCACAGCTGTGGGACCCTTAATCTTTCCTGACCTCTAACGTCCTTTCTACAGGGGGCTAAGCTCTATGGGTAGAAACTGCAGAGAGAAATAGGGATTGCTTCAAGTCACCCTTCCTGACCATCTTTGCACCCCTTCTTATTCCTTTTAGGGAAAGCCCTTCCCTGTTTTGTTTGTTGAGGACTGAAGGCAGACTTTCTTCATTGCTGTCCTGGGGGTGGTATTCTACTAGGTTGTCGGGAAGTTCTTGCTTTCCAGTCGGTTCAGTTTTACCTGGGCAGGGAATGAGGTGCTAACAACAGTTTCTGTCACACCCAGTCACATAATCACAGAGGGCCAAGTGCTTCGCGGACAACAAACACAAAAGCTCTGGTCTGGAGCTGTTCTGGGGCCTGGCCCCCATTGGGGCCTATGCTGCAGGCGACAGATGGAAACTTACCTGGTGGGTGGGTGTGCCCATGTGTAAGTCCCAGACTTACCCGGGCAGCGGAAACAATACTCCAGGGCACCAAACACTCACTGCAGTACTGTTCCCGCTGCTAGGGCACGACTGAGTGTGGTGGGCTAGAGCAGGATACCTTGTCCCTCCTCCATGCGCATGGCCAGCTTGCTTGGCAGTCACCCCCTCCCAGGCCCTTGAACAGTGCAGGGTGGCCCTCACTAGACTAAGGCCCTGCCCAGGGAAAGGATGGACCGCAAGCCCCTGCCCTCCCACCTACCTGCTTTGGGGTTTTTAGGAGAACCCACACGGGGTCTGCTTTGCTGGCCCCCACCTTCTACTTTTCCCGCGAAGGGGTGGTGCAGCGCTTCATGTTTTGAACCTTTGCAATACTCCAAAACATGAATTGCTGCTGCATCCCTTCGGAGCCAACGAGGGTGGGGGTCGCACTGGGGTACCTGTGAATGAAGAAAGTCTCTGTGAGAAGAAGGAGCCCCTCCTTGCCCTGCTCCCTGGTGAGGATTAACTACAATGTATGCTGCTGAGGACCTATCACTCCAGGTTGATGGACTTTTCATAAGCTAGCACTTCTTAGAACTTTGTTTGCTTCAGGATCTGCTGGAGAGGTGAAGGGTAAGGCTTTCACACACCCTCACCATGAATATTGGAAAAGTGTATTGGTGGATAATGGGGTGGGGGGTAACTCTTACCTCAGAAAGGAGATGAAAAGTAAGATTAAATAAATCGAGACAATTTGGTAACATCTGGATCACTCTTGCCAGCTCCAAAGTCTTGGTGAAAGTTCCTGCTGCCTTGTATAAGTCTCATTTATTGTCCCCAGTTTGGGGTCATTTATTGGAAATTGATGCAAGGAACTTTTGATTTAAAAAAAAAACCTGTGGGTAGCTCCTTTGGTTTTAACTCATGTCTAATAGTTTCCTCCACTCTTACAGTGAACACCTTCTCATTAGTTGATTTTAAGCATGAGAATGTTCTATAGATGAAACCCCTAGATGTTTTCATACATTGCAGGTTATTCAAACTTATTCACAAATACTTTACATTTGTCAATGTCACTTATCAAACCACAAATCAGCTTTAAATACTTGATGTCAAATGGTTCCTTCTTGAACAACTCCACAGAAACTCGTGTCTTGAAATGGCCGGCACTGTGCACGCTCCCGTTCTTGACTCTCAAAATGGACACATGAGCAGTAAGTTACATTCATTTCATTTCCTTTTGTTTAAACAAAACATTCAAGAAAGCACACACAAAAAAAATCCTTCGGTCCTTAGCCACAGGCCTAATAATTAAAACAATAAAACTATACTGCCTTTGAAAGTAAAAATACATTTTGTATACATAAACAGAGATTCAACCTCACCAAACTTCCTGTATTTTCATTTAAAATTATGTCCGTTATTCAAAACTAGTACAATGAATGCTGGGTCCTATTAACTAATTGATTAATTAAATATACAGAGTATGTAATTAAACTAAGTACAAAATGCCTAACACAACAGATTGTGATCCAGTGCTAACAAATGCACTAATAATAAAGCCATAAGGTCATGATAAATAAAGCCATTAATAATAATAGCTCTACTCCTTAAGTTGGAGTCTCTAAATTCCATCTTGTCTTGGCTATATTACAAATCATTTTTACACGGACACGGCGGAATAATGGAGAAAAAAACCGTTGATGGTCGCCCTTAAAAAGAGAGAGGGAGAGAAAAAAAAACATGTTTAGTAAAGGTACAATTATACTTTAAAGATACATAACTTTCTCCCAATTTAATTTTATGTACCCCTACAAATATGAGTCATCACATAATAGATTAAAGCCAATCCCAATTTAACATTTCCTTAGTTGATTACTTTTGTAAAAAAGTAAGTTCATTAGAAGTAACATCAGCGCCCTTCTAGATCATTTTGTTAACGAACACACCGGAACCAAATTCATCTATATTTTACCTCACAGATTTCTTTTCTTCCAGTAACACTACAACGACTTATATCCCTTAAAAGTCGTCTCACTCCCCTGGCTCACGTATTTCCCTTTGGGCTGAATTTTACTTACGAAAGGAGAACACAAAGAGGCGTCTGGTCACTTCTAGAGAGGGTCATTCGCTGAATAGAAAAGACAAAGAATCAATACTTTGGAGTTGCCCTGGTCCCACCCCCCTCAGGACTGCGACGTGTTTGGCCAAATGATTTAAGAGCCAAAGACTACGCCTCTTCCTCTCTTCACAGTTGAGAACGTCTCGTCTTTTAACGTTTTAAGCCTTGCGCCCCCACACCCAAAACGCACGGTGTACACGTCCTCCGCACCTTCGAGCCAAACTTTTCCAACGTCGAGTTTCATACTGGAAGAGCTAAACAACCTTAAAAAGTTTTAGTTAAGGAGAGACAATGTAAACTGAAATTTACGTTTCTTTCCAGGACAGTCTTTACTGCTTACAAATGAGAGTCGCCTAAAGTCCGTTTACAGTTGTCAAAACCAGTCGCTCCCCACCCTGGCGAGGCTGACAGCCGGCCACCGCCCCTCACTCACTTTTCTCTCTCTGCTCTTCCCTGTTCACTCTTCTCAGGCTATTTTCTGAGTTCTCGGGGCACACTCTGTCCTCTCCCCACACCGACCCCCCCAAACACACTTTCCACCCCCACCCTCCACTCAGCGCGACACAAAACTTTTTTTCAGAATTATCCCCGCATCTGTTACAGTCTGCAGTGACTAGCCTCATAGTTGGGGGGGGGGGCGGGAAAGGTCAGCCTAAAAGTCCCCTCCCCCTCCTTTTTTTAGATCGCAAGTCACCTCTCACTCCACTCGAAAATGGCGCCGAAATCGTAGAACTTCTTAAATTTCATTGTAAGCTTTTTGCAGTGGTTTCTGGGATTTTCCTGCGAAGTTGCCCCGCCAAGTCGAACTAGCGAACAAGCCAGAGACGCGGGACAGAGGAAGGAAAAGGAGGGTGGGGAGGCGGACAGACAGACCGACTGACGTCCGGAGAGCGAGAGAGAAAGGGCGGAGGACTGTGGCGGGGTTGAGGGGGGTAGAAGATCGGGCACAGGGTCTTGGGAGTGCGCGAGGTCACGGGGGTATGGGACGCTGAGCGCCAGAGGGACCGAAAGTTGGGAGGCGGGAGTCGGGGTGTGGAGCTCACAGAGAGGCGTGGCGGAGGAGAACGGGAGCCAGGCTGGAGCAGGGCAGGAGCCGGGCTGGAGCAGAGCCGGAGCAGGGCTGGAGTCGGGCTGGAGCTGAGCGCACCCCAAGAGGCGAGCGGGAGCAGCCAGCGCCCAGTGGCTCGCCGCAGCCCTAGAAAAAGCCGGCCCGGGGGGTGTGGCCAGGCTCTGCTCCGCGCCCCTCCCAGCGATTCCGAGGCCCGGGGGGGGGGGGGGGGGGCGGAAGGAGGGGGGGGTGAAGCCGTGCTGATGCTCAGCGCCACAGCCTTGGCCTGCAGCCAGGAAGGGCTGGGGAAGGACGTGGGGAGCCTGCAGTGGCCACGTCCAGAGCCTCATAGCCCCGGGTTCTGGAAGAAAAAAAAAAGGAGAAAGGGGAAAGGGGGAAAAAAGAGCAAAACCAAGGACACAAGGTAGCTCAGCTCCAGCTGAAAGAACCAGAACACAAATGCCACTCTGCTCTCACTAGTCCTCTGGGCTGCCAGCAGGGCACAGCGTGGCTAATCAAAACCTCTTGGGATTGTTTATCTTGGGGGGGCGTTCTGAAATGGGATGGGGGAAATAAGGGACCCTCAGACTGCAGGGGGGTGCTCAGGGTGCATTCGTGTCCCAGATCTGTAGGTCTTCTGTGCTCTGACTACTCTTTCCAAACTCTCCCTCAGGTAGAGGACTCCCTTAGGTCCTGGCGGTCCACTTTGGGGGTGGTGGGTGGGCATAACACCGAGGCAGGGAACAACATTTTTTATGTATGTCCAGCCCAAGAAGGGAAGTCTTCATGACAAGTTTTGAGTCTTGACTGAGGAAAGAAAAGGAGTCTTTCTTCTGTATGGTCGATTTCCTTAGGGACAACGCTGTTTAGGGAGGTGAGAGAATGGTATTGAAGTTAATAGCAGGGTGTCCACATTCTGACAAGGTCTGTGCCAAAGCAAGAGAGATGAAGTGTAACGATGGCCACGATTTTCAAATGATGTCGCCGACACACACACACACACACACACACACACACACACAGAGAGAGAGAGAGAGAGAGAGAGAGAGAGAGAGAGAGAGGGAGAGAGAGAGAGAGTCAGAGAGTGGGGAATGCATTGCCACGAACTAACAGACAATGTTGCTTCTGGGTGGGAAGGAAATAGCCTTTCATTGTACTATATTCGCGACTTGCTTGTATATTTGCAAAATGTCATAACAACACAAATCTGGAGAAACCAAACATGGTGGTGCACGCCTAAGATCCCAGCACTAGGGAGGTGGAGCAGGAGAAACAGAAGTTTAAGAGCGTCCTTGGCTACATAACAAGTTCGAGGACAGTTTGAGCTATGTGAGAGACTGCCTCACAAAAAAATCTGGGAGAAATCCCTTATAAAATAGCGCCTGGATGCTAAACATAAACTCAGCTTCTTTCTTTACCCCTTTCCCGGTTTGGACAAATCTTTGAGCGAGCGGGATGTAAACTCAGATGGATTTGAACAGGAAGGGCAACGGGTATCACTGGCCTGCATCAGCCACATATCTGGGGGCACCAGAAGATGACCAGAAGGGGCCACAGGGGCAGGTTGAGTGCTGGGTGCAAGGCGCTACACAGGAACTACTTAGCGCGTTTGCTTGGAGACTCCGAGGGAGAGGCCCTATTCCTGGTTGGCAGCTCTTGACTAAACCTCCACTCCATCCACCTCTTGTCTGGTCTGGGACTTAGTGGGTTCTGGGGCGTCATCGACTACCGAGAACATCCGGACGTTCGTGAAACGCCAGCAGTTGAGTGTCACCCTGGCAGCTGCGGTGCGGGCCGCGGGGTCCTCCATGCTCCCAGAGTACAGCCTGTTTTGTTGCTGAGGGTAGAACGAGTGAAGGATAGTTTGGAACGTCAGGAGGGAGCTGGAGCAACTGCAACAAAACGCACCAGGTGTCAAAAGAGGGGGGCAAAAAGCAATCATAAAACGGGTAAACACGCTCGCAGGCGCAAAAACAGCAGACGGATACTAAAATCACGAATTCCGCCGTGCTCAGCGCTGCCGCTTCTTTGCGCTGCTTAACTCTCTCTGTACTTCTGTATTTTACTGCGATATTTCTTCAGGGCTGATCTGAAAACTGAGTTTTGCGAGGACGATCGCAAAGTTTCAAGGCGTTGCTAGAATCGCGTGGCCTTATTCTGATGATTTGGGCTTATTTTCGGGGGTTTTTTTGGGGGGAGGGGCGAGAGGGCAGGACAGCAGAGTCTTCCAGGGTCTGCAAAACTGCCGAGAAAAATTAGTCAAAAAGATTTTCAAGACCAAGCTTTTCTTTTCAGGATTTTTTTTCCCAACACGACGGATAACGTGTATAGTTTTGGTGGGCACTTAACATTACTAGTAGGACCTACAAATTTTTTCTATTAATATCTTCATAACTCGTGGACAGGACTGAAAGTTTGCCGGCTTGTCAGACGTGACTGAACACTCGTCTAAGTCCTCGGCAAGAACATTCATACAGTCCCCGAGTCCTCGGGGTAAGAGGCTTTCTTAGGGCTTTTAAGGTTCGGCTTGGTGGGTCCGTTTGTTTGGATTCCTGCACATAAACATTAATTTTCCTACATAAATACCAGAAGATTCCAGCGCTGGAAGATGAAAGATGAATTTGTGACAGGTCCTCTGAAGAAAAATGGCAACAGCTTTCTTTATTAAACTCCTTTTGCTACATCAGCATATTAAGAGAGCCAGTTGAATATTGATGAATTCTTTGAGGCTGAGTAATATGGCTACAGGCCCAAGAAAGCCAGGGAGGGCAGGCTTAAGTATTTACTCCAGTGAACAATCTTCAAATATTTTTTCAAAGATGGTGTCTCAAGGATTTTCTTAGGACATCTGTAGCAAGCTCTGCTCTGAAAATGGCTTCTCACCTATTAGGCCCTTCCTGACTGAGTGTGATAAAAATCACCTTAAAGAGTGGCCCGAAGGTCTTTCTGGGCGTAGAAGGGGAGCACAGTTCACCAACTAGAATGCTAGCGAGCTTCCGATAGGGGAGTCAAACACTTCTCATGGGGCAGCTAGGACCCAGAAGGAAAATGCACACAGGGTGCCCCCAGCCCACACCTTCACTTCCAAAATGTTGCTTTTAAGCAGTTTTTTTTTTTGGAAAATAGCATGTAATTTTTTTTCCTTTCAATTTTTTTCCAAATAACAGTCAGAAATTACCTTGATAAATAATTGTAGCTGGTGAGGGGGGAGAGGAGGCAGCAGCAAATTTTAATGGTCTTGGGTGCAGCTGAGAAAAATAAATCTGCCTTAGACTTGAAACATTTAACTGGAGATACAACCGTGAAGGCGTTTGAAATAATTTGGGGGCCATAATTTTTAGAAACATTCATTGACTTTGGATGTTAGGGAATCAAGTTGAATTGAAATTTTTTTTTTAATTACAAAGAAAATTTCTAGACGTTGAGATTTTTTTTAAATATTTATTTATTATGTATACAATATTTTGTCTGTGTGTATGTCTGCAGGCCAGAAGAGGGCCCCAGACCTCATTACAGATGGTTGTGAGCCACCATGTGGTTGCCGGGAATTGAACTCAGGACCTTTGGAAGAGCAGGCAATGCTCTTAACCACTGAGCCGTCTCTCCAGCCCTAGACGTTGAGATTTTTAATTTTAAATAGGAATGCTTTTTATGGTATGTGGGGTTCGTGTGTGTGTGTGTGTGTTTGTGTGTGTGTTAAAAAGGCCTTGAGTTAGAGAAACAGGACTTTCCTTAGGTTGTAAACATTCAGAAGTCTTGAGAGAGAGAAAGTCAGGATACAGTTACAGATTTAACAGAAAGAAAACATCCGGAGGATTCTACTGTGTTATTGATAAAGGCCCCCAACCCTCAGAGTTCAAGCAAAGGCTAAAAGAAACAGTAACGACACAACTATCAGATTAAACTAAAATGATAGCGTCCTTTGGCAATTTCTATCTTACTTTATAAACTCAGTTATGAATGATTTAAATAAACAGTTCCTTGAAAACTTTCGAACTTGAGGGGAATTTTTAAATCTACATTTCTCCCAGCACCATGATCTCACCCTAGAAAGGAATGAATTAGGACATTTTTCCTTTCTGCCAAGGAGGGGCTTAGTAAGTCACTGATGCTTCTGTCTTTGGATCTCAAGAGTTCTTGTCCCTCCCCAAAGACGCACACAGTCGCTGCCTTGAACAGGTGTGCACTTGCATTGTCTTAATTATTTCTGGATTTC